AGGCTGAGGCCGAGGCTGAAGGCAGACTGAGGCTGAGGCTGAAGCAGGCTGAGGCTGAGGCTGAGGCCGAGGCTGAGGCTGAGGCTGAGGCAGGCTGCTGCTGAGGCAGGCTGAGGCTGAGGCTGAGGCTGAGGCAGGCTGAGGCTGAGGCAGGCTGATGCTGAGGCCGAGGCTGACTGCAGACTGAGGCTGAGGCTGAAGCAGGCTGATGCTGAGGCTGAGGCAGGCTGAGGCGGAGGCTGAGGCAGGCTGCTGCTGAGGCAGGCTGAGGCTGAGGCTGAGGCAGGCTGAGGCGGAGGCCGAGGCTGAAGGCAGACTGAGGCTGAGGCTGAAGCAGGCTGAGGCTGAGGCTGAGGCAGGCTGAGGCTGAGGCTGAGGCAGGCTGATGCTGAGGCAGGCTGAGGCTGAGGCTGAGGCTGATGCAGGCTGAGGCTGAGGCAGGCTGAGGATGAGGCCGAGGCTGAAGGCAGACTGAGGCTGAGGCTGAAGCAGGCTGAGGCTGAGGCTGAGGCTGAGGCTGAGGCTGAGGCTGAGGCTGAGGCTGAGGCTGAGGCAGGCTGAGGCTGAGGCTGAGGCAGGCTGATGCTGAGGCAGGCTGAGGCTGAGGCTGAGGCTGATGCAGGCAGAGGCTGAGGCAGGCTGAGGCTGAGGCCGAGGCTGAAGGCAGACTGAGGCTGAGGCTGAAGCAGGCTGAGGCTGAGGCTGAGGCAGGCTGAGGCTGAGGCTGAGGCAGGCTGATGCTGAGGCAGGCTGAGGCTGAGGCTGAGGCTGATGCAGGTTGAGGCTGAGGCAGGCTGAGGCCGAGGCCGAGGCTGAAGGCAGATTGAGGCTGAGGCTGAAGCAGGCTGAGGCTGAGGCTGAGGCAGGCTGAGGCAGGCTGAGACAGGCTGATGCTGAGGCAGGCTGAGGCTGAGGCTGAGGCTGATGCAGGCTGAGGCTGAGGAGGCTGAGGCTGAGGCCGAGGCTGAAGGCAGACTGAGGCTGAGGCTGAAGCAGGCTGAGGCTGAGGCTGAGGCAGGCTGAGGCTGAGGCAGGCTGATGCTGAGGCTGAGGCAGGCTGAGGCTGAGGCTGTGACTGCGACTGCCGTTGTCGCTGCGACTGTCATCGCGAATGCGACTGCGACTGCGAGAACAGCAGAAGTCTACATTAAGGGGAATGCTTCCAGATATGCGTCTACACATCGCTGTTAGCTTGCTATGCCGAAGCATTTTTTGTTCAAACAAGGTTCATTTCATACTTCCAACGCTACAAGACGGTGGAAGAGGCCCCCAAGACCGCCCCGAGACCGCCCAAGAGGCCCCCAAGAGGGTCCCACGACGGGCCAAGACGGCCCCAATATTGCAGAGGAGGCGCCCAGGACAGCTCCAGACCACCCCAAACCAGGCCCAAGATGAGCTCAAGAGCGGGGGCAGGGGGCCCCCAGAGACCTCCGAGAGGACTCCAGGACCCCCCCATAGGCCTCCAACACACCCCAGACCCTGAGAGGCTCCCAACAACTCCCCGACGGGGTCCCCACAACAGCCCAAGAGAGCTTCGAGAGCCGTCCCGAGAGAGCCCGAAGATGATACCATCGTTGCTTTCCAATGGTTTGTGTCGACGTATTTCGCCTTCTCACGTTTTCC